TTGTTGCCGCCGCCGCCATGTCGTGAAGGCACTGTGCGCTTCATTGTGAAAGCGAAACTACTTTGTCTGGCCTTCCAAAAGAGGACGATATCTGGTTCGTCATGCCTAGAGCTGATCCGTGCTGGTCGCTGAGGAAATACATCATCTTCGCGCTGTGGATCGCCGGATTGGCTTTCATCGTGGACGAAGCGGAGTCCAGTCCGGGGTCGTCACATGTGGTTACCGCAAGCCCGCCGGCCGCTCCTTCGTTGAATCCGCCGGCCGCGCTGTTCTCAAGCCCGCCAGCCATTCATCACTCTAGGCCTCCGGCCTCCGCTCACTCAAGCCAGCCTCTGCTCACTCAAGGCCGCTGTGTGTTTCGTTGTGAAAGTGAAACTGCTTTGTTTGGTCTTCCAAAAGAGGACACGACTACAAATCAGTGGTTAAGTTGTATTTACAACATGCTCAAAGGCCGAATTCGCATCACGTGAAGACGTGTGAACAGTAGAAGATCCTCTCTGTACAGAAATTAAAAAATGGAGGAAGCGCTAATTTTAGCTGTAGCGCAGTGTCCTATTTTATATAATACATTCTTGTCGCGCCAGGACACACGGAAACATAGAATGGTAAGGGGCGTAACATTTCTGTCACACGCTTGAGGTATTCGGCCAATCACAACGCACTGGATAGCTGGCAGCAAATACACAAAATAATGTTCTTTTTAGCAACATCATATGACCCCTTTAAACGGCAATTGTTTTTCTCAATTTGTTTCCACCTTATTCTTCAACGCGGAAGTATGGACAAGACTTCTGGTTCATTAGCCGCGGTAGAGAAATAACGAGAAGAATAACAAAGTGCAGTAAACGGTAAAACTGTTTGCACTACAAACCAGTGTGTTCATAATTAAGATAATACCTTAAAATAATATGGTAAGACATATTGCAAGTAATATGCAATATCAAACAGCAAAACGAGCGGTTTTGTACAGCTAAAAATATCTGGAAGCGAATAAGACCGGAAGCAAGACCCATAACATTTTACAATTGGCCCATTTTTACGGGAAGAATAAGATGGATAAACAATTGACACTTCGCAAAGACCCACCCCCCTTAGTTACTGCTGCATGTCCAACAAGCCCAATGGCACGTTCACACCACACATTATGTAAAAATACTTCGCAGAGCAAAGAGGACACTGACACTGTGCCAACAGACAAGACTCAGCTTTCAAATTTTGTAATTTTTTTAAGTTCAAACAAGAAATACCATTTTGTGGCTCTTTACTGTACCGTGACAGATCGCTGCAGTTCAAGCAGGACGTGAACTGTTCATCTCTTCCTCTTTACTAGTTATAGCATGAAAATAAACATTTCCCAGCTGTTTACCTTCACAGACATAACCGACTGTTTTTGTAACTCGTGTGTGTTTTGTGTGTTTTTTTGTGTGTGAATGAGAACTTAGTTTAGTACTCACATGCTGTGACAGCCGCTTTCTTCATGAATTCTTTTTTAAACACTTGAATGTGGATAAGTTTCATAAATAAAAAATAAAGAAATAAACAACATTTTGAACAAAAAGCTGAAAAAAGACTATGAATTGGATTCAGAATGATAATCAAAATGTAGATTAAGTCGATCAACACCCCAAAGCTTGACAGTCATTATTACCTCTTCATTGGTCGACATTTTATTCCATAATGTTACATAGTTTTGATACTATTTTATGTCTGATGATCGTGTTAGAATACATGTGGAAGCATCTGTTGTTTCAGTTTCTTCTTCACTTGTGTTTCTTTGGAAATTCTGTACAGAAGATATGTACTAGCGCCCCCTACAGTATAACAATTAAAACACTGATTCTAGGAGCACAATTATAGCTCAAATATATTTAGACTTCAAGTATAAGTCAAGTATACTTAAATGTAATTTTAAGTATATTTCTGAGAAGTACATAAATCCCATTTCTGAGAAGCACATAAAAAGTAAACTAAAAGTATACTTTCCTATTTTTTAGTTTAAAAGAAGTATACTAATAGCACACTTGAATAAACTTCTTTTTCGTTAGGGGTGTGCGCTCAGAAAACCGTATATCAGAAGTTTAAACTAATATGGTTTAAAACGCATGATTTCAGCGCGATAAACATGATAATCAGAACCAAACCAGATGTTTTTAGCTGGTCCGAGCTGCGCAGCTCTATTCTGGAAAAGGGGGCGGGGAGCAGCAGCTCATTTGCATTTAAAGAGACAGGCCCGAAAAACAGCGTGTTTCTGCTTCCACTCAAAATAGGCATTTTCAAAATGATATAATAAATGATCACAGACACATTCTGGGGACACCAGAGACTTGTATTACATATTGTAAAAAGGGGCATAATATGTCTCCTTTAAAACAATATATGGTAAGACACACCATATTGGAGATAGCCAGATGTAAACAACAGCATGGATTGCACACTTAATGTATTACTGAATACGTTGTTCTACTAATTTCTGATGTCTAAACCACGGAAAAACGTGTGGAAGCTGCTAAATCATATAGAGAAAAAATCTACCTGAAATAGTAGACCATCTGTGGACTTCTGGCATACTCTTAATATACTATGCTTTGGGACACAGTTATTCTAATCTCACATACTATTTAGAATGGATGGTATACTGGGACGCAGGGACAAACACAATTGGGCTAGTTTTGATTAGCAATTGGGCTAGTTTTGATTAGCAATTGGGCTGATTTTGTTTGGCAGACCTGGCAACCAGCACAGGCTGAAAAACCTTCAGACATTCGTTCAGGTTTAAGTGAAGTCAAACGCTTAATTGTGCAAAAAACATCTTACAAAGAGAGAAAAACAAACAGATAAAAATCTTGTGATACAATCTAAAATTGTATCACATAAAAGTAGGCTTCTCTAAGCTAGCTTTCTCTGCACCTGTAACTCGGTTAAATGCAGTTGTTGAGTGTTGTTTATATTCATTTACTTGTTGCTGCCAGTAATCTAATTCTCAATGACCACCTTAAACACCTCTGGCTCTTCACATATAGTCACCTTATTAGATTACATGAGCTGGGTCAAATGCATCCGAGTTGCTTTCTTTAACTAAAACTTTTTATATGACTTGAATATAATATATGCACTTCAACAGTCTTGCATGCACTTCATTTACCCTTTGTGATATTAGTATCAGAGAGAGTATCAGAGGGAGTAAATAAATAAATACATACATACATAAATAAATAAAATACTCACCCTCGGGCCAAGATGAGTTTGTTTCCTCATCATAACAGATTTGGAGAAATGTAGCATTTCATCACTTGCTCAGCAATGGATCCTCTGCAGTGAATGGGTGCCGTCAGAATGAGAGTCCAAACAGCTGATAAAAACATCACAATAATCCACAAGTAATCCACACCACTCCAGTCCATCAGTTAATGTCTTGTTTAAATCCATCAAGGCGGTTTTTTTTTTTTTTTAACTTCAAACCATTGCTTTTGGCTAAAATACAGCCCTCTGAACTTTTTCACTGGAGGAAGAGTTATTACGAATTATGGACTTGTATTTTAGCGAGAAGTGATGATTTAAATTTAAAATGTCTTAATGATGGATTTGTTTCTTACAAACACGCAGCTTTTCACTTCACAAGATGTTAACTGATGGACTGGAGTGGTGTGGATTACTTGTGGATTATTGTGATGTTTTTATCAGCTGTTCTGATGAAGAAACAAACTCATCTATGTCTTGAATGACCTGAGGGTGAGCACATTTTCAACAACTTTTCATTTTGGGTGAACTATTCCTTTAATTTTGTGGAACTCATCATATAGGCTAGAACCAAACAAAAATGACTCGAACTATGAAATGAATAATCATTCTATTATATGTGTGGTGTTTTTCCCCTTCTCTTTGTCTGTGGTGAAAGCCATTAATAATCACTCTGTCAGAAGTGACAGGCTTGATGAAAGCAAATCGTCAGCACTTTGTGATGGTTACCATGAATACAAAACCCTCATTTATGACAAAGTCTCATTATGACCTGACATGAGGTTGAGTCCTGTGTTCAGAGCAGATAACAAGCTGAGCGAAAGTCTGACATTTAGGGACACAGTTCCACCCAAACGCTGGACATATGAACAGAGAAAGACATTGCCTTTATGAAATGAAAGATGGTGTGTCAAAGGACTTATTTGTGACATCTTCAACCTTCAAATGGAGTAAAAAGACTTAAGAAATTTATTACACTCCTTCCTCCCTAAAATACTTGATTCTGATTATTCAATTGCATCACTTTGCTATCAGTGTTTTTGTAAAATGATTGTTGTATTGACCTTTGACCTAAGCAGTCGGTTTTCCTACATAGCTGTGCTAGTTTTATGTCTCTTGCATTACTCTGCAGTCTCTTTCTTCTCACATAATAAAGTAATTTAAACTATAATCAATATCTCATCTCAATTTATGTATTTATTTGGTTTGTTTCTCATAAAAAACAGCAACCAAATTAATTAAATATGATATATATATTTGACTATTAGTCCTTAGCTGATGATAAAAGTTTGTCAACAGTAAATATGCAACCATATGTTGCAAATAAATCATTTTTCTTAATGTAACAAATGCAAAAAAAAAAAAAAAAGTAAAAAACACTTTTTATATTTAAAAATGTATAAGTCTTGTCGGTCCTGTCCCACAGCACTGTACGCGCGTAATTCGAAATAGCATCTTTCCAGCCAATACATAGACGTCTTTAAAAGCGGACCAATGGCGCTTCGAGCTTCGCACGATGGCCAATCAGAACGCAGCAGCGGCCGCGATGGGCGTGTTCGTTTTCTGGCCAGTGAGCGCCCAGAGTTGATGTTTAAACTGTCCGCGCAGGCGTGGCTAAGCGTCCGGGGGCGGGGCTTAGTGGAAGTTGCGTGGTCGAGTCAGAAGAGAGTTGTGTTTTAAACTGTACAACACTATTAGTTAACAGTAATTTAGTAGGTTAGTCAGTCAAACTGGTTTTATTCATTTTAAACTCTAGTAATCCAGGGTTTAAGTATTCATTTCGTTTCACTGTGAAGCATTATTGTTGAAAGCTGACTTCTCAGATCCTTCCTTGAAATGAAAGCGGGCGGTAAGTAACTACTTTAATCTCCCTAAATTATTCATTTTCAGTTATCTAACCCTAATAACTGTATAATTACATATTTCGTCGATAAATATTTCTATCTCATCATAGTCAGGGCTGCAGTTTATTAAATAGCTACACAACTTTAGACAGAGCTATTACTGTTAACCGGTATGTAATTGAAATAAACTTTAATTATCTAAATATAAATATTCTATTAACCATAAGAGTGTTGATGAAGTCGTTTTAGTCGATTTTGATGTAATATCTCCTCAAGAGAGGCCAGTTGTCCTCTGTCCCAGGACTGCTTTAATCAATAAGGAGGGAAAACTGGCTACTGGTCGTTAGCATGTCAAAACTGCCATTGCAAAGCAACAAAACTAATCGTTATTATATCAAATGCGTGTTTTCTACTAGTATTAGTAGTTTTTAAGCATTTAAAACCATTTAGACTCAAAAGCTGATGTAAATAATCTCTCTTGGTGACCTATATGTCGCAATGCATCGTCCCAGTGTAGTACCATGGTAATACCATGTTTTATTGGGCTTATACCATGATATTCTTTGAAGTACATTGGTGTAACGTAAATATCATGGTTTATGATTATAGTGATCTACTGGCATCATAGTGTGTGTCTAAGTCCCATGGTATTGCCATCTTTATACCATAGTAACTTGCCACTAAAGTACTTTTTGCAGTGCTCAGCTAATTAAGATTCACGTTTATTTATGTTTAATGGCCAAATTCAATATATAGTGGGCAGAGTGACTTAATATAGTGGAGATATGGCATATAAAATGCAATTTAATGCTGATGAATATAATAATTCTGCTGATGGGCCACTAGACACAGTTATTATATTGCTAATCTCTAAATGGCCAGTTAATCGAAACAGTTGCAGAATTGCAATTCACAAAGTTATTTGGCTTCACACTGATTTGTAAGTCAATCACTGCTTCTTTATTGCATTTTAAAGGGGTCATATGATGCTGCTAAAAAGAACAGTATTTTGTGTATTTGGTGGAATTTCTTCTTCCTTGTCTCCAGTGCTCCACTGTCGATGTGCCAAATGTTTCTCTCTGCCTCTCCGGAAGCGGGTGCGAAAGCGTGCGTCTGCCGTCACGCTGCTTTCCCTTCCTGAAGAGCTGCTCCTGTGTGTCCTCCAGTGCCTCTCCGCTGAGGATCTCCTCGCCGTCAGAGCTGTTAGTCTAGCCCGGATGCAAACATCTAACCTCCTAAATTATCTGTTAACCAAAAGCGGTTTTATAATAGTGAATATCATGTGATCCCACAGGTTCATTCTCATCTTCGTGACGTTATCGATAGTAACTCGAGTGTCTGGGCTCGAGTGAGTTTCAAAGATCGCTGGCCGGTCCCGGATACCGTTTGGCTCTTTAAGAGGTATGGTATTTACCAACATTTTCACCATGTTTCCAGTTATTTGAGATGCAGATAAGAATCTTAAAGGGATAGTTCACCCAAAAATGACAATTCTGTCATTAATTACTCACCCTCATGTCGTTCTAAACCTGTAAGACCTTCATTCATCATCGGACCACAAATTCAGATATTTTTGATGAAATCCGAGAGCTTTCTGACCTTCCATAGACAACAAGGGAACTGACACATTCAAGGTCCAGAAAGGTAGTAAGAAGTCGGACATCGTTAAATTAATCCATGTGACATCAGTGGTTCAACCGTAATGTTACGCAAAGAAAACAAAAAATAACGACTTTATTCAACAATTTCTTCTCTTCCGTGTCAGTCTCCGCCATGCGTTCACGAGATTACCACATAGACTATTTTAACGATGTCCTTACTGTATTTCTGGGCCATAAAACATTTCCATTGCTGTCTATGGAGGGTCAGTAAGCTCTCAGATTTAATCAAAAATATCTTTATTTGTGTTCTGAAGATGAACGAAGGTCTTATGGGTTTGGAACGACATGAGGGTGAGTAATTAATGACAGAATTTTCATTTTTGTGTGAACTATCCCTTTAAAATAAATTTAGATTCAGACTGATTCGAATAAAAGTTTGGTGGTTTAACGTTTTAAAATGAATAAATTAAGACAACCATGATAGATATTAGTATTGTAACTTTACAGTTGTATGGTAAAATAAACTTATTATAATGATGTATTTTTTAAATGCACAATTTTTTTTTTACAATAGTAATATTTCTTATTTTAATATTATTAAGTAATAATGCTAAAAATCATAATTATTATTGTTCCCATGGTTTTGCCTAAATTGTGCTTGCTAGTGCCTGCTTGATGTAAATATTTCCCCACTATTCACTTTCAAAATGGTTCAGTACAAGCTTTTCTTGATGCTTTTTTTATTTTAATTATTTAAATGCTTATTTCATTTAGTCTTCCTCATTATTTTCCTGCTTGTCCTCTACAATATCTAGGGCTGCGGAGAAAGGGAACTTTGAAGCTGCTGCGAAACTAGGAATTGCGTATTTGTACAATGAAGGGCGTAAGTTTCTGCTCTCATTCCCAGTGTTCCTGTGTCTTTATGTATGCACTGATTGATTGGTTGATTGATTTAATCATCTGACTGACTGCTCAAAGCTGTCCTGTGCTCCTCACGATGTGTGAATGTCTTGCAGCTTCGCTCAGTGAGGAGGGACGTGCCGATCTGTGCGGCCGCATGGCATCCCGGTACTTTAGCCTGGCCGAGAGCCTCCGGTCCCCGCTGGCCGAGCCCTTCATCTGGCTGTTCATCCGGCCGCCGTGGTCCATGTCTGGAGGCTGCTGTAAGGCTGTGGTGTACGACCGACTCGAAGCCGAGTGTGAGACCAACCTGGTGAGCGATTCCTGAATATCCCAGCATTCATTGCCAGTACAGTTCTCCTCCTCCTGGAGCAATGCACAGTTTCTTTTTTCTTACAATTTTTTACAATTCTTAATGTAAGCGTTTAACTTATTGCTCTTTTACAAAGTCTTGATTTTGTTTTGGGGGTGTATTAGAACAGGCTCTCATACTAGGCTGTACAACACCTCTCTCCCCAGTCTGGCATGAACGGCTCGAATAGTTCCTGTATCAAATGAAGGCCCGCCTTCTGAAATACGAAATGTGTTGTGATTGGTTAGCTGGGCCAGTGTGTGTTGTGATTGGCAGCACTCGGCGCCTGGTCGGGAAATGTCATGCCCCTTACCATAGCCGCCTGCGAGCTTCAGTGTAAATATTGCGTCAAAATCAAATCAATTTGAGCGCGATTTAAACCCGGATGATTGTAATCACTCTAAGTTCGTCTGCCTTGGGAAAGCTAGCGTGTCTCCGACATAGTGATAACACTCGTTGCCTTCTCTAGTGCAGCTCCACCAGGTCTCGTCCCATTCGTCGATATTTGTGACATCACAAATCCCGGAAAATATGCGTTGTAGTCCAAACGAGTCGTTCGTTGTAGTTTTTGAAAAGTGATTTCTGTTAAATAAAATATCTCCTTTTGAAGTGGACTTTGAGCTTTGTAACTTTGCAGATCTTTTTTATGCTCAAACAGCAACACTACAGACTAACTAAAGTTAAAAAAGTGAAAAAGCATAATAGGACCCCTTTAATTTAATTAAATGTGAAATGACTATTCATTTCACTTGTGTAATATGATATAGTTCAGAGTGAAAAGCGATATTTAATGAGACAGAATTCGGATTAGGAACTAAAACCGGTTCTGAATATTTTATTTAAATTTTTTTACTTTTATGAGCTTGTTATTGTAAACACCTTCTGCAAGAATTTGTATTTTGTTATTTATTAATTTATCAGCACTATCTAGTTTTGAACTGAGAATTGCGTTTTACATTTTCTAGTGTTACAAAAGTTTTCTATTTAAAATAAATGCCGTTCTTTTGAACCTTTTTATTAATCAAAGAATCTTATATATCTTATATACAAAGAAAAAAAGATATCACCGTTTTAAGCAGCAAAAACAGTTTTCAACATTGATAATAATAATAATAAATGTTTCTTGAGCATCAAATCAGCATATTAGAATGATTTCTGAAGGATCATGTGACACTGAAGAATGAAGTAATGATGCTGAAAATTCAGCTTTGATCACAGGAATAAATTACATTTTAAAATATATTCAAATAAAAAAAACTGAAATATTTCACAATATTGTTTTTACTATATTTTGATCAAATAAATGTATGAAAGAAGTGAATTTTTTTTTCATGTTGACTACAAAATTGACAGGAAATGTCATATTTATCAAATATATATTTGTTAATCATAACACAGATTTTGCAGGATTCATTACCATCTCATTCTAAACACATTCTAATGTCTCTTTCTTCCTGCTTTCTTGTCTTTACAGAGCCGGAGAGGGACGTTACTGTACTGTCTGGCTAGAGTCCTTCGGCTGTTTGATGTGAGTTGCTTTTATTCTTGAAACTTGCATTACAAAATGCAATTCTAATCTGAGAATGATTGTGTAAAAACACTAATAGACTTCAAAGACTGAATCTCTGAATGGATTGTTCTCCAAGTCAAGAGCAGAAAACTGGTGTTGCTCATCTCTGGCCTTCACAAGATGCTGACAGACACCTGGTCACATTGTAATGTTGGGTTCGGGTTGCTCATTTGATGTTTGCTGTCAAGGGGTTTTATCATTTGTGCTTCTCAAAGTCAAAAGGTCCCAAACAGTAAGCACTTAAAGGGTTAGTTCACCCAAAAATGAAAATTCTGTCATTAATTACTCACCCTCGTGTCGTTTCAAACCCGTAAGACCTTCGTTCATCTTCGGAACACAAATTAAGATATTTTTGATGGAATCTGAGAGCTGTCTGACCCTCCATAGACCGCAATACAACTGAAATGTGACCCTGGAGCACAAAACCAGTCTTAAGTCGCTGGGGTATATTTGTAACAATAGCCAAAAAAACATTGTATTATATTGTCCTATCCTAACAAACCATATATCAATGGAAAGCTTATTAATTCAGCTTTCAGATGACGTATAAATGTCAATTTTGAAAAATTGACCCTTATGACTGGTTTTGTGGTCCAGGGTCACAAATGTTCCCAAGTCCAGAAACATAGCAAGGAGATCTGTAAAATAATCCATGTGACATCAGCTGGACGTAAACAGCGTATGCTGTTCTGTGTCAGCTGCGTCACGCCGGATCTGTTTCCTACGTTGTTGTGATTTGATCTGAACGAAAACAGCGTATCCGTGTGACGCAGCTGACACAGAACAGCCAAAGTCTCTTTAAAGGTATTCTATAGTCTTCGGAACAGCATACGCTGTTTACGTCCAGCTGATATTCTCCAAAATGGCACCAGGGTGACGCAGAGGAGACGTGTTGAATAAAGTCGTTATTTTTTTTTTTTTTTGCACACAAAAAGTATTCTCGTAGCTTTGTAAAATTACGGTTGAACCCGACGTCACATGGATTATTTTACCGATCTCCTTGCTACGTCTCTGGACTTGGGAACATTTCAGTTGCGTTGCTGTCTATGCAGGGTCAGACAGTTCTCAGATTCCATCAAAAATATCTTAATTTGTGTTCCGAAGATGAACGAAGGTCTTACGGGTTTGAAACGACATGAGGGTGAGTAATTAATGACAGAATTTTCATTTTTGGCTGAACTAACCCTTTAATGTGTAATGATAACTGCTCTTCACTGGTTGTCTCATAATAACCCCTCAGACTGAGGGGCAGGTGGTAAACACGATTGTTGACTCTGTGTTTATCAGGATGAGGAGAAGCGTGACGAGGCCACGGCCATGTTGAAGGAGTCTGCGCGTTGTGGGAACGTGCAGAGCTCGTATCTGCTGTGGGAAATGAACCGCGGGACGTCGGTAAGAGTTTCTTCTGGACTCACGGTCACGGTGCTTCTGTTTCTCTGCTGTTGATGCTGAAGGCTGCTGTAATGCTCTGTTTGCAGACGGCCGACCCCGGCAGGTATCTGCAGTGCATGCGCACGCTCAGGGACTACGCTGCCAAAGGATGCTGGGAAGCTCAGGTGACTGGAGAAAATGTCATGTGTATAGAAATTTACATTTGAAATTTACCCCGTTTACTTGTTTAATATGAAATGAAAATGACATCGAAGTTTTTCTGAAGACAGTCGGTTCCCTTCAAAGATACATTCGTATAAAACACCCGCACCGCGTTTTGATTTTGAAATGTTTATTTAACGAAGTGTAAGCCCCACAAATCTATTTGTGGTGGTCAGTTTTGATATAGTGCCGGGCCGCCGAATATATAACACTGAATATATAAATGTACTATTATATACATTATTATGTAAATATACTGTATATTAAATATATATATTTTTTGGTTTGAAGACCAGAATTAGTTTTCACTTTCATTAAGAATGAGAACAATTTCTTTCTTTTTTTTTTACACGTATAAAAACATTTAAAAGAAAAATATTTCTTTATGATTATTTACACTATTATGTAAATATATACTAAAATATATTTATTTTGAGGAGAATTTTTTTAAGCATTTTATGTTCCGCATTTCACTTTCATTGATAATGAAAACACTTACTTAAAGATATTTATTTTAAATGTATATAATATTATTGTTTATATATTGTAATGTAAATATATGTTAAAATATATTTATTTTGTCTTTAGAGAACCAGATTTAGTTATATATGGGTCAAAGACAAAATAGGGTTTAAGCATAAAAACAATAAGGGTGGGTTGCACCAACAAGGATTAAGCTTTAATCTAGATTAAATCAAGGTTTATCTAATAATCCCGTTTGATCCTGGATTTAATTTATATTTAAGATGGATTAACTTTAATCATGTTGCTCTATAACTTTAAACTCAGATTTAAATCTCAATTAGGGATTAATTTTAAATTTACAGGTGAGGAGGTTTAAATAAAGTGCACCTACAGTTACAGTTATGTGGCTGATTAAACAAAGAAAACAATAGAGGGTGTGTTGTGAGGTCTCAGGTGTTTATTACAAATAAAAAGGAAGATTTAAGCGCATTGAGCCAGCAGATTGTGAGGGTTTTGGCAGCCCGTAGTAAACTCGTGTCTGCTATCGAGTCCGGGATGTGAATCCGTCACTCATCTCGGTGCATCTCGGCGTACGACAAAGAAAACAGAAATATACTGTATATATATTATATTTAACACACGTTCCTGGCTCTCGTGTTTGTCTAACTTGTCGGTTCTGATCTCCCAGCTGGCATTCGCGAAGTCATGTGGCACCACAAACCCTCTGGGTCTGGAGCCGCGGGCCTGTGCTGAACTCGTGGCCCAGTTCTTCCACTCCGGACCGTCACCCCTGAGATACCCACAGAACCTGCAGGGACAGGACATCACCACTAAGAGGTACGACCGGCGTCAACGCTTCAGATGACCTCCTGTCTCAAAATAGTCCTGCAGGGTTCACACTCATGGAAAACCTGAAATATAAGCGCATTTTAAGCTTGTGACTTCTAGGCTTGGAACGGTCACATAGATTTTATAAATTGTTTTTGTTTTTCCCAAATTTAAAATATTGAAATATATCTATTTCTATTATTATTATTATTATTATTGTTGTCTTTGTTATTAAAATATTTTACTTTATTACTATTATTATTATTATTATTGTTACAACATGGGTGGTGAACACCTATTCATGTTAACTTGATAATGAGTGAAATATTTTTATTGTTAACTAAAACTATTTAAAATCATATTCGGTAACTGAAATAAAATAAAAATATTAATTTGAACTTAGATTATAAAGATTAGAAAGGTTTCTTGGGCAAAAAACAAAACAAAAACAAAATAAGTTGCTATATTACTAAAAACTAAAATTAAAAACAAATGATAGCTACAGTGTATATATACTGTATATGTATATATATATGTATATATATATATACGCTACCGTTCAAAAGTTTGGGATCAGAACGATTTTTTATGTTTTTTTAAAGGAGATTTTTATGCTCATCAAGGCTGCATTTATTAGATCAAAAATACAAGAAAAAATGTAATATTGTGAAATATTATTACGATGTAAAATAATGTTTTTCTATTTTAATATACATTATCTAA